TGTGTGTGAGGGTGAGTGTGTGTATGTGTGTGTCTGTGTGTGTGTGTCTGTGTGACTGTGTGTGTGTGTGAGACTGTGTGTGTGTGTTTGCATGTATGTATGTGACTGTGTGTGTGTGTGTCTGTGTGACTGTGTGTGTGTGTGAAACTGTGTGTGTGTGTGTGTGTGTGTGTATGTGTGTGTTTGCATGTGTGTGTGTGACTGTGTGTGTGTGTGAGACTGTGTGTGTATGTTTGCATGTGTGTGTGTGACTGTGTGTGTGTGTGTGTGTGTGTGTGTGTGTGTTTGCCCATGCGCTCTCATGCCAATGCTCAAATGACAACATTGATTGGAAGAAATGTTGCAACCTGCTCGTTTATAAACTCTGCCTTGTTGATCCATGAAGACAAGGCTCTCTGTTCTAGTAGTAAAAAAAACTCTCAGATCATGAAGATGAGAAGCTTGTTTATTTTGTTATTCCCAATCAGATGAGAGAGCTCACTTGCTCCTCTGAGCCTGAATATTCCAATGTTTATTTTCACTAAGAAATTCTTTGTTCATGGATTGTGAGTAAACCTTTATTAAATAAGACATCGGTACTACAGTACAGCGAATGTTGCGCTCTGTTCATTTCCAGTGAGCTATCTTTTGTTGTCAACTGGCCATTTAACTTCTGTTGCCTCCTTGGGCTTCAATGCACCCATTGAAAACGAACAGTATAATCTCATTACTCCCAGATAAGCCTAATAATTATCTGGGAGTGCATCAAAGGCAATCTCACAATTCCAGTGACCTTCATACATTGCTCAAGCTTCAGTTTCATAGCAATGTCATTGGAGTTGTCTGATTGAATTACTGATTTATATGTCAGACGTTATCTTTGGAATAGAAACAGAGCAACATTGTAGTGAATGTTATTCAATTAGAAGTGACTGGCCTTTTTTGGTTGCATTTGATTTTCTGTTAGCAGATGAAGTTGCATTTGAATCCACATGGTTAACTTCCATTTGATCTGTTTAGTTGTTGTATAATCTCGTCAGGCATCAATAACAGTGATGTGACTGCCCACATGTGTATGAAAAGCAAATGTTTCCGAGCCAGCTCTGTTCCCATGTACAGGGAGGAAGCAGAGGTTGGCTCCCACCCATGGCAGAACCAGGTAAAGACTCAGTATGTTAGGCCTCTGCCCTGAATATTTTGTCCTGAGATCAACTCGAGTCTCCCTGAGGACTCCAGTAAGCCCAGGAGTAACCGTCAGCTCGCTGTTCATGCTGTAGCGAGGCAAAGTGTTGGTATGTCCTCAATCCTTTCTCCCAAACTCTTCCTCTGCCTCAACCACTGCTCCACCCCCTGTCCCCCACCCCCCAACTTTTTCTCCACCCCTTCTCATTGGAAACAACCTCTGACCAACCATTTGGTGTCATGCCTGATCTCTCTCTGTTTGGCTCATTGTCTTACATGCTAGTGATGTGCTCTCAAACCCTTTTTAAAAAATCATTAAAGGTACTATATACATGTAAGTTTGTTGTTGGTTTGTTTGGTGCCTTTACTTGGAAAAGGTCATTTGCAAAGGCAGGTACATTGTGGCGTTTTGTTTTCCTTCATCCTACAGCTCCAGTTGGGGATGAGTCAGGCACCACGCAACCAGAGTTCCCCTTGCCTGACCTGGTCTGAAAGCCTCCATTCCATTTGACTGGGCCCACCGTCTCCTGAGGCCTGGGTCTTGCTGGAAAGCTGTATCCAGCTTGTGAAGGTTGATCCTGTGTGGAGGTGGAGGTAACTGGTGGAGGTATTCATTGACATCTTCAACGTCTCCCTCCTACAGCCCCCCACCTGCTTCAAGAAGACCACCACCATCTCCGTACCCAAGAAAACACATGCAGTGTACCGTAATGACTACCACCCAGTAGCTCTGGCCTCAATAATCGTAAGTGCTTCAAGAGGCTGGCCATGGCCCATATCAACTCTAGTCTCCCAGCCTGCCTCGATCCCCGACAATTTGCTTATCAATGTAACAGGTCCACATCAGATGTCGTATCCCTAACCCTGCATTCATCCCTGGAACATCTGGACAACAAAGACACCCACGTCAGACTCCTGCTCATTGACTACGGCTCTGCCTGCAACACCATTATCCCCTCCAGACTGATCTCAAAACTCCATGACCTTAGTCTCAGCTCTGCCCTCTGCAATTGGATCCTTAGCTTTCTGACCCACAGGCCACAATCAGTGAGAATAGGTAACTGCCCCTCCTCCACAATAACACCCAACACTGGAGCCCCTCAAGGATGTGTCTTCAGCCCCCTACTGTACTCCCTGTACACCTACGACTGTCGCCAAATTCCAAATGAACACCATCTACAAGTTCGCTGACGACACCACCATAATGGGACAGGTATCTAACAACGACGAGTCAAAATATAAAAGAGAGATAGAGGGCTTGGTGATGTAGCGCAATGAAAACAATCTGTCTCTCAACGTTGGCAAACCTAAAGAACTGATCATCAACTTCAGAAAGAAAGGAGGACAACATGCCCCATCTACATTAACGGAACTGAAGTTGAGAGAGTGAACAGCATCAAGTTCCTCGGAGTGACAATAACCCGACGACCTGTCACAGACTTCCCACGTAAATGTGACAGTCAGGAAGGCACAAGAACACCTCTTCTTCCTCAGGCGGCTCAGGAAATTTGGCATGTCCATAAGGTCCCTCACCAACTTCTACAGATGCACCATTGAAAGCATACTGTCCGGGTGCATAATGGCCTGGTAACTGCTCTACAGAACATGGTGTGCACAGCCCAGACCATCACGGAAACGAACCTTCCATCCATGGGCTCTATTTACACATAATCAACAAATGACATCATCAAAGACCCATCGCACCCCGGTAATGACCTCCTACAACCTCTTCCATCAGGCGGAAGATACAGAAGCCTGAATACACACAAATACAGGTTCAGGAACAGCTTCTTTACAGCCATTATCAGACTGTTGAACGGATTCTAGCCTCGAATAATGTAACCTGCAAAGTAACCTGTATGCCTCTAAGTCCTTTTGATCTGTACATCCTTTGCTTGCTGTGATCTGCCGGTACTGTTTGTAAACAAAGCTTTTCACTGTATTTTGGTGCACATGACAATAAAATCAATCAATCAAAATCAATTTATCAAATAATCAGATAAACAGTATAAGATAATAAATCAAGATCAACCATTGTGAGAAACATAATGTTTTATTTATTCTAATTAATTCTTGGGATGTGGGTGATGTTGGTAAGGCCGGGATTTCTTGCCCCAGTTTTGAGTTGCTCCTGAGAAACCTGTGATGGCTTGATGCATCCAGGTGCAGGCATTCCTCAGGGTAATGTTCTCGACCCAACCATCTTCATCTGCTTCCCCGTCATCAAGTCATAGGTTCATTGTCACTCAGCGGCGACAATATGACCCATCTACAAGATGCACTGCAGAAATTCACCAAAGATCCTCAGACAGCACCTTCCAAACCCACGACCACTTCCATCCACAAGGACAACGGCAACAGATACATTGGAGTACCACCAGATGCAAATTCGCCTCCAAGCCACTCACCATCTTGACTTGGAAATAAATCATCATTCCTTCACTGTCGCTGGGTCAAAATCCTGGAATTCCTTCCCTAAGGGTATTGGTGGTCAACCTACAGCAAGTGAATTGCAGCTGTTCATGAAGGCAGCTTACCACCACCTTCTCAACTTGGGCAACTTGGAATGGGCCCAACTATTAGTGGCCACATCCCCTGAATGAATAGAAATAGTACCTTAATGTTGGACTACTATCATGTTAGAGAAGACCAGAAGGTTTATTTCCCTGTAACAGTAGCAAATAAGTTGGGTTTTAATGAAAGTTCTCTCTTTTAATTATCACTTTTTGTCATTTGCTGATACCTGCTCTCTAATTCTAGGTTTCTTTATAACTGAATTCAAACTGCCATTGTCTGATTGGAACTTGAGATCTCAGGTTTATTAGTGTAAGCCCCTGACAAACTAACATAGAAACTGCTCTTCACTGCGCTGTGGTAAAGGGTTTTACTTTACAGGCTGGTATTGAGGCTGGTATTTCTTCCTGTCTGAATTGGCTGTGCACCCTCAGAGGAGATCGATACATGTGTCACATCTCTGTACTACAGAATGTTCTCAATTTGTTCAAACTCCAGACGAGGCCGTCGAGGGGTATTTGGAGTGGGTTGGAAACTGGAGTTTGGTCACAAGCTTATTTAATGCAGAGCATGGTCAAAAGGGCTGAATGACTTCCTCCTATTAATTTGTATATTTGTATGTTCATACATCATAGCAGTTTCAATGTCCAAATCTGACAGATATAAGAACTGATTCCCTTTTGTCACTGTACAGATTTCCTGTAGTAAACCAGATGAGGAGATTGGCAGTCTGGAGCTCACCCAGGAACCATGGCCTGTTTGCCTGGACAGTGCTTTCCACCTCGCTCAGCAGATCCACATAAAACAGTGCAGGGTTTACTCAATCGGGTGAGTGTGATTCTGAGCAGTTCGGTGTTCTGATTACGTGTCAGCGATAGCAAGCTCTATTCAGTAATAACAGCCCACATTGGACCTGAAGATGCCTAACTAATGACCAGAGCGGGGAAGGAACAGAGAATTGTCATTGAAGAAGTGGGTGAGAGTGTTTGGGTTTCCCTGGTAACACTCTCGTCTCTAGAGACTGAAGGTCATGGGTTCCACTGCCGATACTCAAGCAGCAAGCTGATATTGATGGAGTGCTGCACTGTCAGAGGTGCTGTCCTTTTTGGATGAAAGTATTAAATTGTGGTCCCTCAGTAAATCCTGTCGGGTGAATGTAAAAGATGTTTTGAAACAAATGGATGTCCTGGCAAACAATCATCCTCGAACCAACACCAATAACAAAAATAATTTTCTGTTCACAGACTTCTTTTTGTAGGATCTTGCTTTGTGCCAACTGGTTAGTTTATTTCCTGCATTACAAGTGAGTATGCTTCATCCGCAAGAAAGCACCTTATAAGACGAAAGACCATGAAAGGTGTTAAAAAGTGCCACATTCTGTCGAGTGCGCCTTTGATGTCAAGGGGAGTCACTCTCCCCTCACTTCTGGAATTCAGCTGTTGTCCATAGTTGGATCAGGGTGAATAGATTTTCTGTATTAATAACAATACAGAAGTTCATTATGCAAATGAAATGAAGATAAAATGAACCGAACTATTGAGATCTAATGCAGATTTAATGATTCAAATCACACAATAAAATATAATTCCATTAACAGCTCTTGACAGTACTCACACCAGAGAGAATCTCCTCTGCTATCACCTCTATAGACTTAATTTAACTGTGGTTTCAGCTCCCAGGCTGGAGAATCTAACAGCTTGTTCTAGAACATTCACACACCTGAGCTTAAACCTTCTCAGTTGCAAAGAACCTCTTCAGGGTTTACCCAAAGACTTCTGCCCTGGAACTGTTGCTGAACTTGTTGCTCTGAGGGAGTCCATTTTTAACAAATACAAATTACCTTCTCCCTATCCCAGGAACAACTACTTTACATATCCATCTTCAGCTAAGAACTTTGCAAAACTGCCTTAAACTGAAGCTAAAACTGAAAGGTTTCACTCCAGCTACGGGCTCCCCCTTCCCCCAGATTTTTATGAAAAACCAGTCCAGAATCTTCTGTCAGAAAGCCTAGTGTGTACTATATTTACTTGTAAACTCTCCATTAGTTCTTAGAGGCTATCTCTATCAAACTGTTTTCAATAAAAGCCATCATGGCGACAGAAATACTTATAAGTTAATCATTAATGCACTTCAGACATGCAGAAAACCCACATGCCACGAGGTCAAAACTCAGCAGTCTAAACAGACAAATCAATGTTATCAATATTGGTTAGATTCATTTCTTATACTTCAAATGGCGCTCCTGTATGACCACTGTGTTAATTTCTAAGTAATGAGAAAGTGTGACTCCTTTCGTGAAGCTGGGGGATTTCTTGGATTTCTATGCCAGGTAGAATATATTTTTAAAAAGTGCAGTTAAGAACCGGCTGAAACTACAGGGTAGTGTTCTTTCTGCAACTCCTCTACTGAGAGGCACAATAGGACAACTCTGCAGGACTTTCTAATAAAAATTACCAGTTACAGGGCAGCAATTAGCTATAGCCAACTCCACGACACCACCGAATATGTAGTGAACAGTTCATGTTCGATAGCAACTAAAGCAGCCAGGCTACTAAGGAGCCTGGTACCTTTATTTAACACCAATGATGATGAAACACTGTGGCAGCTGAGTTAACAGTGCAGCTTGAAATGAGTTTATGAGTGTTATGATTCAGTCTGCCTGACAACTGATTGCAGTTTCACAACTGACTCACAGGTTAACACAAGGTCCTTTAGCCTGTGAGTCAGATGTACATCCTCCAGATTATTTCCAGGCTGTTTTTAGTCTGTCAGTATCAGCTCCTATTTGTGTTGGTAACCTCAGCTGACTGAAGTCAGCAATGAATTCCAACAATGCATAATGTAAACGTTGGCCTTTGCCAGGGTGAGTGTTTGCAATGAAGCAGATTAAAAATACTGTGATCCTTAAGTGGCCCAGCAGCTTTTCTTGCATGGGCTACTGGCAGCAGGGGTGGGGGTACCTCCTACAGGAAGTATATCCATTGAAGATATATGCCCCGTACCCCAGTCTCTCAGACCAGACACAGCCTGTACCCTCACAGCCCTTGCTGCTTGATACCTTGACCTAGCTCCAGCAAAGCCTTCACAAGCAACAGTGTTTGGAGTCCAGTTGTTCACAATCTACATCATTGATTCGGATGTGCAGGCCAAATGTAATATTTCCAAGTTTCCTAATGACTCACAACTGGGTAGTAACATGAGTTATGAGGAGGATATGAAAAGATGAATTATATAGACTGATTTAATGGGCACAAACATGGCAGGTAGAATGTAATGTAAAGGCAGGAAAAAAAGAAATACAGACAGTCCAGACAGACTAACATGAAATGTGATATTCTGGTATATCATCCACCTCATCTTCAGTCACTGTCTCTGTGTCATGAAGTGTGTGTGTGTGTGTGTGTGTGTTTAACATCAGTAAGCCCAGAGCCCAGGCTGTGTGGACATCTGTGTTGTCCTAGCCTTGTTAACAGTTTGTGTTGTAAATAAACCTCACCAAAACCTGAGTACCTGCCATGTTTGTCAGCTGGGCTAACATTGAGCAAGTCACAAACTCACATCACGGAATATTTTTTAAATGGTGACAGATTGAGAAGTGCTGATGTCCCAGGGGACTTGAATGTCCTTGATCATTAGTCTTTGAAAGCCCACATGCTGCTGCAGCAAGCAATTAGGAAGGCACATGGAATGTTAGCTTTTATTGCATGGGGATTTGAGCACAACAGTAGAGATGTCTTGCTGCCGTTGTAGAGGATCTTAGTGAGACTGTACCTGGAATATTACTCACAGCTATGGTCCCCTCACCTAAGAAAGGACATCTGTATCAGAAAGTAAGTACAATGTAGGTTCACCAGGCTAAATGTCCTGTGAGGAAAAGTTGAGGAAACTGGAAACATGTTGTCTAGAGTTTAGAGGAACAAAACCTGATCTCATCAGAGCATACAAATTTCTCACAGTGTAGGTCTGGGTCACCACACTGTCGGAAGGATGTGTCTGCACTGGAGAGGGTGTAAAGGAGATTCATCAGGATGTTGCCTGGGATGAAGTGCTATGAAGAGAGGTTGGACATGATCAGGTTGTTTTCTTTGGAGCAGAGAAGGTGAGGGGGGGACTTGATAGAGGTGTGTTAGATTATGAGGGACAGAGGCAAGGTGAATAGAAGCAGCTATTCCCCTTAGTCAAAGGGTCAATAACAAGAAAGGATAATTTTACAGTGAAAGGCAGGAGGTTTGGATAGGATTTGAGGAAACGCTTTTCACTCAGACGCTGATGGGGTCTGGAATGCACTGCCTGGGTGGGTAGATGACGAGAGAATCTTCACAACCTTTATAAAGCACTTGGATGAGCATTTGAAGGTCATAATGTTCAAGGCTATGGGCCCAGTGTGCGAAAGTGGGACTAACGGAAGGTAGTAGTATACTTTTGACGGTACAGACTTGATGGACTGAAGGGCCTGTTGTGTCCCATATCATTCTATTACAGGTAGATGCACAAAGGATATTTCCCCAGGAAGGGTGGGCAGGGGCTGGTCTAGAATTAGTCTCAGAATAAGGGGACAGAGATAAGTTGGAATATCTTCACTTAGAGGTAGTGAATCTATGGAAATTTTTCCGCTGGGATAGAGGCTCAGTCATTGCAGTTGGAGATCCCTAGGTTTCTAGATATTAAAGATGTCAACAGATATGGGAAAAGTGTAAGGAAAATCACTTTGAATGAGATCAACCATGACCTAACAGAGCAGGCTTGATGGGCTGAATGGCCTGTTCCAGCACTGAGGTTCCATTTGCTCCTTTCTTTTGGGGATTTGGTGTAGTTCCAGCAGTGGCCACCACTGGAACCAGCCGCTGCTGGGACTGCATCCGAATATTCGATGGCTGTGGGGCAGCTGGTATCAGTGGGGTAACAAGGTGTAGAGCTGGAGGAACACAGCAGGCCAGGCAGCATCAGAGGAGCAGGAAAGCTGACATTTCAGGTCTGGACCCTTCTTCAGAAGTGGGAGAGGGGAAGGGGGCTCTGCAATAAATAGAGAGAGGGGGAGGCGGATGGAAGGTGGATAAAGGAGCAGATAGGTGGAGAGGAGACGGACAGGGCAAGGAGGCGGGGATGAAGCTGGTAGGTAGGAAGTGGGAGTGGGGGTTGGTCAGTGAGGTGGGAGGAGCGGATAAGTGGGAGAGAAGACAAACAGGTCAAGGAGGCGGGGACGAGCTGGGCTGGTTTTGGGATGAGGTCGGGGGTGGGGAGATTTTGAAGCTTGTGAAGTCTACATTGAGACCAATGGGCTGCAGGGTTCCCAAGCGGAATATGAGATGCTGTTTCTCCAGCCTTTGGGTGGTATCGTTGTGGCACTGGAGGAGGCCCAGGATGGACATGTCGTCCAAGGAGTGGGAGGGGGCATTGAAATGGTTCGCGACTGGGAGGTGCAGCAGTTTGTCGCGAGCCGAGCGTAGGTGTTCCACAAAGCGGTCCCCAAGCCTCTGCTTGGTCTCCCCGATGTAGAGGAGGCCACATCACGAACAGCAGATACAACAGACCACATTAGCAGATGTGCAGGTGAACATCTGTTTAATGTGGAAGGTTTTCTTAGGGCCTGGGATGGGGGTGAGGGGGGAGATGTAGGGGCAAGTGTAGCACTTTCTGCGGTGGCAGGGAAAAGTGCCAGGGGTGGTGGGGCTGGTGGGGAGTGTGGAGCGGACGAGGGAGTCGTGGAGAGAGTGGTCCCTCCGGAAAGCAGATAAGGGTGGGGAGGGAAATATATCCTTCGTAGTGGAGTCAGATTGCAGATGGCGGAAATGGTGGAGAATGATGCATTAATTGGCTGGTGGGGAGGG